ATAAAATATAAAGTTTTTTCTAAAAATATGTTTGATAATTATCTGGAGGCTATAAAGATTTCACATGTGATATTTGAAAATTTTCTGAAGCATAAAAGTATTTTTAATCTTAAAATCAAAATTAGTTTGCATATTGGATAGTCAACATTTGAAAAAAAAAAAAAATGGCATGAGAAAAACATTACTTAAAAAAATCTTAAAACTTGATAAAAAAAATTGATATTGTGTGTATGAAATCCTTGTAATGTTTACTGATAATGTGCAAAATTTCGTAAGATATGCTTTTTGTGTATAGTAACTTTAATTTCATAACTCAAAACCAAGGCTAAGCCATCAAACCCTGTCATTTGTCTAACTTACTTTACACAAGTTCATCCCTTACACTATGAAGGCAGTTTAAAAAAGTTCAGTTTGCTTAAAATTTAATGAATATATTATTAGCTTTTGTTTATTGTGAAGGAAGAACATCTGAATACCATCATAGCATAAAACAAACATGAAATATGAAAACCTAATTTTTATGATGAAATTTTATAACCGCAACAGCTATCACTAGTGGAAGTAAATACTTGCTTGTGATAGCACTTTTCTATCAGTCACCATACATTTTCAGTGCTGATGTCATGACCAATGTAATCAACTTACTTTAACAGTCTATCTCCTTCAAAATAGATTTTAACTTCACTATGTGCAACATCTTAACTCCTCACCTTCTGTTCTGTGTATTAAATAATCTCAGCACTTCTGGATGACGAGGGGGCAGTTCTGCTGTTCTCTTTAATGTGATGCGAATATTTTCCCCATCAGTTTTCCTCTGACTGTAAAGCTCAGTTGGCTATAAAAGATATGAAGCCAATCTTGAATACCAAAATAATTTTTATGTTTTAAATAATAATCACATCATTTCACAAATGTATTTCCTAATCATTTTCATACCAGTTATTAATTCTTTCTCTGAAGTATGTTTTAACACCTCCATTAGTAACAGTTCATATCTATCTTTCTCGTGAATAGTTTTTTTTTATTAGATGAAGCTTTGAAACTAACATTCATTCGGCTAAATTAATTAAAATCTTATTTTGAGGTAAGTAATACAAGGAAAAATTATAAATTCTTTCTTAAAGTTACACTTTCAATGGAACAAAAAGTCTTAATTACTTAATGATAAATATACGCATCCATTCAGAAAGAAATTAAAATTATCAATGCATACAAATTACCTCAGTAGCTAGTCTTGACAGGGTTTTCAGATCCGACATGCCATCAAACAGATAACAAGATCCAAGTTGTTCTTTATGAATACAAAGAAGAGCCCTTCTCATACGTGGAGATTCTACGTTAGGTGAGAAATCAACATGGTACTGATATATCACCCAATCTGGTATAGTCTCAACTTTAAAGTAGTTGGCGAGAACAGTCAATGGGTTCCCCGTTTTACCTGAAAAAGGACAAAAGATAAATACTACACAAAGCCTGATGAGTCACAAGTAATACTTTTTACACACTATCTTCCATATGAAAATTTGTTTTGCAAATGAAGAAATTCTGCTAGATTACCTTCTTAATTATCTAAAGTTTGTTGCAATAGGATACCTTATACACATAAAAATCAAATTAATGACAACAACATTAGCAAAACATCTGTGATGATTACTGCCAAACCCTTGACAACTTGGATTAAGTACTGCTAGAATACAATAATGATAAACAACATTCACACCTTGAAAACACTTGAGTGTATACTTTAATTTTCAATTACAAGTTAAAATGCTAAGATCAAAGTTATTGTTAATAAAAATACAATCTTAGACATAGATATTACATGCAACAAACATTATGATTGGTTAATGTGTAATGATATGATTAACTTCAAATAACCATTGCTAATTCATACAATCAACAATTTCTTATAATGTATCAATATTTTGGCTTGGATGCCAGCTTAATATTGATATTCATTTACAAGGAATCTTGTGAAAACAATTTTCTCTGTAACAGCTCAGTAGTTTTGTTGCTTTAGATCAAAATCATGTGACAATACCACAGCCCATGAACATAAAATATATCACAAACTGATAATTGTCTTGCTTATACTATGCAAAAAATTTCATATAATGAAAAGTACAATAATATTTTACAATGATGTTTAGTTTTACTATTAAGATAGTATGCATAACATGTTTTTATGACTGATAAGCTTTAACTTTAGTAAAGGTAATGTGAGAATATACTAATTTTATTTTCATTATAGGTTTCAAAATATCTAACAGATGGAACAACTTAAAAATTCAGAGCTTTCAGAATTGACCACATAGGTAAAGTTCTAAACCTGAAGCACATTAGTGAAATGCAAAATTTATCAGGCATATTACAACAAAAAAATAAAATTTCATTCATAAAGGCACATCAGAAAATTTCCTAATTCTGAAATTACACTTCTAAAAAGTCTGAGCAAAATTATAAGTACCTTTCTTATTTGCAAGGTGTTTAGGTCTAGTTGTTAGGGATTCTGGTTCTCTTCTTCCTCTTGCCCCACGACCAGCCTGCTCACTAGCACCTATCTGCATGGCTGCCATTTCTGAAACAGGAGGTTCTGGATGATCCCCTGGACGAGGTTCACCTCTTGCACCACCTCTGTGGCTGGCTCTTCCTGATACAACAGTTGCAGGTTGAGCTTGAGCAGGTACCATTTGAGAAGGAGGCTGAAAGTAGTTGAATTTGTTAAACTTCAATAATGGCCATAATTAAAATGGATCATGTTTAATAGAATGGTGAGAAGAAAATGAGCAATGATTTGTTTTACATGTTAAACACTTTTTTGTAATGAATGAATAAATACAAGAGGTAATCAGAAAGTAATGGCTTATGTTGCATAGGCCAATGATATCAAATTGCAACCATGTAAATCAACATTGCAGATAAAGGAGGCAATAAGAAATCACTTCCCTCCTTAGTATATGTTTTGTTTGGGCTCAATATCAAAGACATCTGGGACAAGTTAAAATTAGCACGGTACCTACCTAACAAAGCAGGTAAAATTCTCTGCACATGATTTTCCAATTAGAAATTGAGGCACTTTTCATCAATCATATTTTCCCAAGGGTGTTACATTTTTGTTTGGAGCAATGCCTACTAGAAGCTTGCTGGGAGTTCCCAAGTCTCTTCTGTAGATGACAGGCATCATCATCATCACCTGAATTTACCGAAGCTGGGTAAATTCAGGTAAGTAGAGAATTTACTGTTTCACGTTTTAAATAATAAGACACTTCTATTGTTCATGTTCTTGTTCATTAAATGATAATTTATTTTATCATGTCAAGTAATATACTAGTGTCTAGACTAAAAAAAATATATACAAACCTATAAAGGCAAGTTACAACTAAGTTTTATAATAAATATTAAAAACACAGTAATATCAAAAAACATCTTTAATTATGGACATTTCAGAATTACTTCAAATTCCATCATCAGTAAAACCTCAAAAAATTCACAATATTCTAACTACAAAAAAACAACTACATTAACTATTAAGCAAAGTAGTTTTTGTATTGAAATGGAAGTATAGAAAAAAACAGATTTAAACAGTAATAATATAATGGAATTTTTGATAAAATGTGTGGCATACATATTTAATAAATGGATATTTGTGCAGGTTTTTTTGGCAATGTGGTTAGAAAATACTGCACCCAAGTAGTTGTTCATTGGAGGTAATAAAATAACCATGTTAACTGCAGACTTTTTCCCCACATTCCTCTAAATTTATCTAACATTAATACTAATGTTAAATCTATTGCATATTAATGTTTCACCAGCTTTTGGGATTTAAATGTAACTTTTCATAATACTTTGTTTAGTATAAAGTGGATGTTAGCAACAAGGTACCGTAGACTCTGTTGATCCAGGCACTTGTAGCCTGGATACACCAGTTTCTACCTAAATCAAGCATCTTTTAACTTTTATGAATTAACTAAAAAAATATTTATGACATGTAATTTGAATGGGTTTTAATATTTGAAGAGAAAACAATTAAACAGAATATTTATACAAATACATAGGATTTATAAACCTGTACACACATTTCATTCCTGAAATAATTATGACATACATTACACAGTGTTTTCATTGTTCGTTAAAATAACATTTCTGAACATTTTGGAGAATTTTCATATTTTATATCTTTGCATCACCTCTCATATCTACCCCATACTCATGCTTTCTAAAAAAATTTCATACAATTAACCATATCTTAAATAAGTTATTCAATGAAATGATCAACTGTTATTAAATCAGATAATGAATTTTACAAAGTCATAGCTTTTCAAGTCTTTCCAAGTATGGAAATTAATTTTGAAAATTTTCAGGTTTTCCAGAAAACATGGTAACACTATTACAGTTTGTTTTAGAGAAGTATAATGATTTTGCTGGTAGAAGTCCTATATCTGCTAGTGTAGAAAAACAAACATTTGCTAGTCCTTCACAAGTTAAGGTTGAGACCTGATTGACTAGTTAAAATCATTCATTAGCTACAATTTACAAACTCCAGTGTATGGGAAATGAAATACAGCTGAGAGTGACAGAAGAAACTAGGCCTTTAGTATGCTGGATGGAATGAGCCAATTGTGAAGTTTGTAAACGCCACAACTTTACCAAGTGTCTACATGACTATATGAACTAAACACGTCTGACAAACTATTTAAGGTTGTGGGGTGGGGGATGGCATTGAAAGATTCCTTGATACTGTAACAGACAACACCAATATGAAGAAAACCCAACACAAGAACACACACATTTATATTAAAACCTAGCCATGCCACAGCATTCTACACATGTATTGCTCCTATTTTGAATCACTATCCTTAGCTTGCCACTTTTCTTCTGAAGTAACAAGCAATCCTTTGTTATGCATGAGCTTGCTCACTCTAAAAAGTGAAAATTAGTTCAAAGAGAGCTAGCATACTAATGTTAGTATACAGTCTCCAGATTTTGACAAGCAGAATTCAAACTTGCTTCACTTAGATTGGTAAACTTCAAAGCAAGTTTGAATTGTCTAACGTCAAGATATCCAAATTCACAGAAGATAATGATGAGAAGGTGTCTGAAAAAACTATTAGTAAAAAAACTGAGAAGATGGTTGAGATTAAGAACATGACTAAAACAAAGATGAAGAGAACCATGACTCAAAAACAACTGAAATTAGATGTATTTTGAAAAACAGATTAATATCATATCAAAAAACTTTGTTTATATGTGAATGCCAATGTAATTATGATTAATTCAAAATGTTTTGGAGTATGATGAAGTTTTTAACCAGTTTATGTTTAACATGAATGTAAAATGAAAAGTCACTACCTTTAATGTCCATTAAAGTAGTTAAAAGTGATTATTTTATAAAATAACTCAGTTATTGCTCACACATGAGCATAAGGGTGGTTAAGTTTCCAAAAAGTGGAAAACTGCAAAGGGACTGATGTAAGAGTAATTTCTTTTTTCTGTTTCAAAATTAAAATGGTGCATTCTGAGTGGTTAGTAATCGAACAAATGAAGCACAGATACATTAAAGTGCTAAATTTGTAAGATAACTTTACTGTACAAGAACTTACCAAACAATTTCTTTTGCATTCTTAACCAATATAAAAGTATTACACTGGTATCCTTTACAAGCAATTGTTGACTATGTTACACAGTCTTAATGACTAAGTTAATTGAACAACTTTACAAATAGAACTTAGTTTCTAACCTATTTACACAATAAACACAGACATTTTTCTTTTTTTTCTGTTGATTGGAATGTAAGTCTACTTTGGTAGCTATACTTCAGCTGCTGACTCTGATGGACAATATAGGCTCTCTTGGACAATCTAAAACAGGCATTTAACCTTTCACTTAGACAAACTGGCTATAACAAGGATTACAGATGGTATCTTAATTTGGTCTAATGCTGAAGCTGTACTTGGATTGATAATTCTGTGCTCTTCTTGGTCCTGTTTCAAGTACTTATTAGCTGTTCTTATGTATTAAAGGGTTTGATGAACACAATCATATAGGGGGTTCACATTCTACAAACAGCCTTGGCATTTTCAAATCACAAAATATCAGTAGTGAAAGTAAAAAGAAACTCTACATAGAACTAAGTAAGAGGCTAAATATTTTTCAGCTGCCAATCAATCATTGTGCAATAAATGAGTACCAAGCATATAGCTGAAGATGACTCCTACCTTGCCAAAATTTATATTTGTGTTCCCTAGTCCTACTATTTTCACTGTTAAATATGAATAAAAAGATGATGCACCAACACTATCAATTCCTTTTACAATCTTAAACACCTTAATCAGATCCCCCCTAACTCTTCTTTTTAAAGAGAAAACAATTTGAGAGATTTATGTGGCACCTTGTCAAATGCTTTCTGAAAATCCAGATACACCAAATGTATACCCTTACCTCCATCTACATAAGCAGTAACCTTTTCAAAGAATGTTAAAAGATTGTAAGGCAAGATTTTCCCTTAGTGAAACCATGTTGACTATCCAATAAAAATCTAAACTTTGTCAAATAAATTTGCAAAGCATCTTTTAACAGACTTTCCAAAATTTTTCCCACAACTGATGTAAGACTAATGGGCCTATAATTACTGGGACAATTTTTATCACCTCCCCTGAAAAGCTAATTTCCAATCCTCTAGTAATTGCCCACTATTCAAGGACTGACAAAAAATAGTAGTAAGTGGCTCACATATCCAATCTTTAACCTCCTTCAAAACCTTTGTGGAAATATTATCGGGCCTAGAAACCTTATCATTTTTTAAACTTCCCAATATTTTCTTAACCAGCTCAGAATTAATGCAGTCATCTTGTTTCCATTTATCAACTGTTCAAGATGTGGAGTAATGCTTAAATCTTCATTAGTTTGTTTGTGTTTAATTTTACACAAAGATACACAAGGGCTATGTGCCCTAGCCATCCCCAATTTAGCAGTGTATGATATGACTAGAGGGAAGGCAGCTAGTCATCACCACCCACCACCAACTCTTGGGCCACTCTTTTACCAAGGGACAGTAGGATTGACCATCACAATATAATACCCTCACGGCTAAAAGGGTGAGCATGTTTGGTGAGACGGGCACTGAACCAGTGACCCTGAGATTGCGAATGAAGCAACCCTATGCAACTGGTCATGCCGGGCCTTCTTAGTTAGTAAAAACCTAAGAAAAAGTAAAATTTTTAAATATTATGTTTACAATTTGTAAATTGAAAAGAACAGAAGGAAAAATAACCCACAGCTCTTTGTTGAGGTCCTTCTCTTTCTTCTCCAGGTCTTCTGGCAGCCTCTGTGGGCTGTCCACGGGCTCTGCCACGAGCTCGACCTCGAGCCCTACCTGATGGACCCTGACCACTAGACATTTTTCACAACTGTAGAAAATAAAGAACTTTTTATTTGATCATTCAGAATCTTTCATTAAATAAAATAACTAAAAAAAAAGGTATAAAACACATTCACAGATAACTAAACATTATATTTTCCTGTAAACCTTCTACACAGAACTTTTCCACATGCTGTTCAATGAATTTGTCCATACTTTTAAACTGAAGTATAATTCAAGTAAAATAAAAGACCATTCATAAGGCTACCATGTCACAACTTACTGGAAATTATATTTATCTTGATAAGGAATCAAGCTCCACACCTTCAACTGATACCAATTTTCTGAAAGCAAGATTTAAATATCAAATAGACAACTCACCATTATGGTCTTCACAATGTGCTAAGAATAATATTTTTCAGTTTTAAAAAAATGATACAATGTAACTTACACAGACTAAAAAATGTAAGAACTTCAAATAATTACCCAGTAATTCTAATTGATACCAAAATTTTAAATTACATGTTAAAACATGACACTAAACTTCTATCTACTGTCTGCTACAAGACAGACTTTGTTCAGTATCAGAACTTAGCTAGATGGGACTTAGGGTGGCAAACAGTCCATCTTAAATAAAGCATAACTACTGCAGACTCCAGCTGAATACACCACTTCACAATACTTTGAAAAAATGGCCCACTGAAGGAGTATGGTTTGATGAACATTCATACTTCTTTAAAGAAAAATACTTTTGTATTAGGGCAAAATAAAATGTTTCCTAGTTCATCTTGAAAAAACGAAATGTAGGCAAGTAGTCTTTATATATTAAAATATTTAATTTATATTCACTTGAATAAGCTGATTAAGATTGACATTTTAATGTTAAAGTTAGCTGAAAGTATTACAGCTATTAAGTTTTTCTTTTGCAAAGTATATTGGAACTAGTGCTGAGCAATTAGTGGAATTTGCTACTCAGTTAATTGTCATGCCCATTAATTAATTATTCTTACATGAACTCGATCTTCCTATTTTCAGCTTTTGTTCTTTAGACATCTTCAAGTATAAAAATTTAGAGCAAGTTACTTTTATAACTGTATACTTTTGTACATGAAAATGTACCATACAGAAAAAGTAACATGTTTAAAATATGTTTAATACCATTCATTGAGGTTTTCACTACAAATTTTGTCAGACTACTATACTAAAACTAAATTTTGTTTAAAAAAATTTTTCTTATATTTCATTTGACAAAACTAGTAAAGATTAATATGATGCGACAAGTCACTCTAAATAAGTTTTTCATAAAAAAAATCAGATCAATAAATTTAATTCATTGCATTTTTTTCGTATTTTCTTATATACCTATACTTTGATTAAAAAAATACGCAAAATAGAAATTAATTGGGAATGAGAATGAAAATTGAGGTACGAATTGCATGATTTCCTATAAGTTATTATATTCGATTAGTGCGGCTCTTTTAAAGAACACATTAACCGCACTAATCGAGGGATTCCTGTACTTCAAGTTCCACCTGTTGAATCATTTGATATCTGCAAAGAGGTTATCTAGCATCATTGGAAGTTTTCTTGCTAAATAGAAATGTGCTCTTTGTTTTTCTACAATGTGTTAATTTGTTTTCACTGAGTGATATAAAATGTTTAGAAACAGACCCTGATGAAGATAGAAGCCGTCAAATTTGCAGAAAAATTGATGAGGCAATTTCTCAGTACCGCCAATTATATGAAGAACAGAACCCTTAAATTCTTCAATAATGTGAAAAGTTCTACTAATTTCTTCTTCGTCATCTTCTTATGCTGGCAGGTAGGTAAGATTTCTTCACATTCATCAATGTCTTCATATGCTCTCTGAGTGTCCAAATTTATAAGTTCTTTTCCAATATGAGTAATCTCTTCAATGACCTCTTCTGTATCTTTTGAAAAGCCTGTGACGTCCTGTGCACAGTGTGGAAGAACTGTCTTCCAAACACCTTGCATATTTTTAACTGAAATTTCATTTCATGCTTGATGGATATTATCAATAGCATCCTTAATACTGAATTTCTTCCAAAATTGAACTAGTGTCATAGAATTCTTTCCAGATGTTGCTTGAATCGCTTGCTTGAAAGTCTTTCTCAGGTAGTATGCTTTAAAGGTCGCGATAACGCCCTGGTCCATTGGTTGCAATAAAGAGGTAGTGTTTGCGGGTAAAAATGTCACTTGGATATTTTTGCACATTGAATCAAGACCAAAAGGATGACCAGGGGCATTATCTAAATAAGCAAAGCTTTAAAATCTAAATTTCTTCTTCGGCAAAAGTCTTCAACCATTGGACAAAAATACTTGACGAAACTTTAGTTACCCATGCTTTTTTTATTAGGTTTCCATATTATTGGTAATTGTCCTTGATTTATACCTTTAAGAGCTCGATAAACCAACATAGGCTTTAATTTCAAATTTCCTTTAGCATTGCCGCCCAATAAAAGGGTTAGTCTGTCCTTTGCAGCTTTATATCCTGACTGGGAACTCTCAGATTTGGCCAGAAAAGTTTTTAAAGGCATCTTTTTCCAAAATAACCCCGTCTCGTCGACGTTAAAAATTTGTTCCACAATTTTCTTCAGAACTTCAGGATATTCATCAGCAGCTTCCTTGTCTGCACCAGCTGCTTCCCCTGTAATTCTTACATTGTGCAGGTTAGTTCTTTTCTTGAACTTCTTAAACCACCCAGCACTAGCATAAAGCTCCTTTGTCTCGTCTTTGAACTTTTCTTCTTTTAAGATTGAAAAGAGACTTAATGCTTGTTCTTTTATGAGATCAGTGCTTAAAGGAATTCTTTTCTGGTTACAGTCCTCTATCCAGATAGTTAGCAATCTTTCTAATAAGTTTGAAGCAGCTTTACCTTTCATTTTGTATTCATCAGCTTTACCTAAAATTGCTCTTACTGTTGACTCACCTAGTTTGTACTCTAGGCCTATTTTTGATTTCGAGACACAATCTTCACTTTTTCTTATGATTTCCATTTATTATTCTAAAGAAATAACTTTTCGAGTTTTCCTTACAACTTCACTAAGTCTTTTGCTCATGTTTAGGAAAAGGTAGTACGTTAAAATGTCTAAAGTATTGTTACGTCTCCGTTTGTTAATTGATTTCCCGTAAATTCGTTCCGACGAAACTTTAGCGACACAAGTCTTTACTTAATAAAACTGGTTTATTCTTTCCGAATATAACTTTACGATACACTTAATTTCAACAATCGCGCTAAAACAAACGCTATAACAACGAACGTGCTCAATAATACTCTCTGACTGCAGATCAATTACTCACTGTCTACACACACATTAATTCGTCACGTTGTCACTCTCTTATATATATACCAGACTACCCTATATCTAGTAATCTCCCGACTATTCCCGAAGGTTCGAGAGAAGTGGCGTGACATTAGTCACATGACCTCGCTCACGCAACAGTATAAAAAAATTGTTAAAAAATTATTTCAAATATGCACAAATGGCTTGAGTAGTTAGGCTAATAGCAGACAACTAATTACTTAGATGATGTAATAACTAGAGTGTCCACCCTGAGGCAATAATGTTTTACACCGGGGAACGGGTTCCCCGTGAAAAAAAAAATAACCCGGGGTGCAGCCCGGGGTAAAAAATATTTGAAATAAAAGATACTTGATTTAAAAATCGTATTTTAAAAAATATCGAACAAATAACAAGGCTGACAAAGTTTTATCACTTTTTTTGTTCAAGCTTGTCGTAAAAGTAAACAGATCTGGAAAATCTCACAGCATAAAAAAACACGTTACAGAATTTAAGTCTAATCGAATACTCATTCGTCACTTTCAACATACCTCTATAAGACGTCATTTTTATTAAGTTTAAAGCATTATAATAGAAAAAAATTCTTTAGTGAGCTCA